ATACGGGAACAGAGGAAAATAAATGGCAGGTCATCGGCGCGATGAGAGCTTGCTGTACAGTTCTCATCATCTGTGTGCAATAGAATAGATTGTAAAATTTTGCTTCATGTCTTACTCTGCCCTGTGCTCTAAACAAGTTTAGCCTTTTCTGAATTATAGATGTTTCAGTGACCTCAACTTAAACTCTGTGAATTTGTCCGTAGCTGTCTAACCTGTCTCTAATGTTGACAGTGAACTGTGAAAGCATCTACAATCAATGATCTCTTCTTTTCCTCTTTTGCTGCAGGCTAAACTCTTTCCAACTGCTGTCATTCACTTTGGATCTGAGGAGCGCAGGGGTGAGTGAATTTCCTCTATTCTTTGGCTGACTGTATAGCTCCTATAGTAGAGCCAGAAGAATTACATCCTTATGTTCAGAGTTCTTCCGACAAAAGATAATGCAGTCCTTGAGAATGCTGGTAAATGTTCCTATTCCAAGTGGCCGAAGCTCTTCAGAGCCAGCTTGGTCAGTTAGCTTGAGCACAAATGCAAACCTAGTAACTTTCTTAGGAGATTTGTTAGGCTCTGGAGTAGGCATTGTCTACTATGGGGACAAGAATGATAGAACAACAACTCTATAGAAGGAAATTCCGTTGTTCAAAAAGTTAATGGGACAAATGGCTATGAAACAGTTTTACAGACCTCCTGTCATAGTGGACTAGCTGGAGATGGGAGAACAGGTCTGAGTCTTTGGTTCTTTGACATGTCTGGTTTATGCTTAGAACCTCTGTTTCTCCCAGAGATGAAAGCATGCTCTGGCTTCACAGAAAGGTTTCTGAGATGCAGTGAGCACTGAAAGAAAATATCAAGATCTTGAGGTTTGAATGATGAAATAGGGCACCTTGAGTTGTGAAAGAAACTGTCATAGTTAAAAAGTGTCTTGTGTCAGTTGAGGGGAGGTGATGGAGACTTACTTTAGTATACAGCAGGTATGTGCTGAGCAGAGAGCTATGTGATTCTGTGGTGATCGATGTCTCTATGTTACCAAACAAGTCTTTGGATTTCACTTTTTTTAAACAGATTGTTACCTGAAATCAGACCTGCTGGGCTCTGCAGTTTCCCCTTCTGCAGCTGATTTATTAGTAGCCAGGTACGTTGGGACTGAATAGAGTTGCAAGTGGGTGAGTGTTTCAGGGATGGGAAGCAAGAAACAAGTCCATCTTACTACAAAGAAATGTGCTCTGACAATACTAGGACTTTATTTTCCCCCAAAACAGTCATACTGCCATACTTGACTTCATAGCTTTGTGAGTCCTTCTTTGTAAAGTAGGATTTCGGTGACTAACTCAAGTAAATTGTAGGGCTTTTATCATGAAAAAGAAAAACCTTTTCAATCTGACTTTAAAAGTTCAAAGGTGGTGGGTGGTACAAGGGGCTATTATGAAAAAATGAAGCTTAATTCTACTTTTTAATTCTACTTATTTTCTTCCTCAGACATTTGTCCAAATCATCAGATCCTTCTGCTTCATCGTCTTTAGAATCAATAGTTCCCTCCCTGTCTGAACCAGAAGCGGGAAGTGACAAAAAGACCGATAAGCAGCCAGAACCAGCAAGTGTGCGTGAAGCTCCACAGGTGCCGAGAAGGGCCCCTGGGAAAATACCCAAATGGCTGAAGCTGCCAGGTACCATGACATCAGAGGAGAGCTCTTCTCACTTTGAACTCCCCAGAAAAGTAGGCTCCTCTGTGCCAAACTTGTTGGATGTTGATGATATTCTTGAAGATGTCAGCATAAGGCTTGCAGGACGTTCAGTGCTTGTCAATCAGATCAGTTTGTGACTTAAACCTCAGTCTTGAAGTATTTGAATGCAGGCTCTGGGCAGTACTGAGTCTGTCTAATCCATATGCTTGGAGCATTCTTAACTATGTTCTGAGTTCTTAACTATGCTAGTGTAGTTCCAATACTAATAGGCATGATATTCTACATACCAAGGGCCCGTGTCATCTGTTAAACCTCTTGTTCTTTTTTGCTTTGCTGGTTTAGTCTGGTTTAGTACTTTTCTTTCTCTTGAGTTTTTTGAGTTGGTCTTTCTGTTTTTAATCTTCACTGCAAAACAATAGTGGTTTCCCATAGTTAAGATTGCAACCAAGTTTCCATTATGAATTTTTTCTTGGTTTGTCCTGATCAGACAACTGCAGCCTTGGTTTTAGTCTCAGAACCAATAGCTTATGTGTGACTTTATATGAGAACTTTTACAAAATATGAAGTAACTAGAAGGATTCCTGAATTAAACTATTGGCAATACTCACTTTTTGATGCAGTGGCAAAGAGGAGGAAAAAGCCCCAAAAGTTCAATCAACCCCCTTAACGGCAATACAACTAGGAAGAATTATATGGAATTCCCTGGCTAATAATGCCAAAGGTTAACTTCCTGAATGAAGATTTTTGTGTTTTATTCTAGAAGATACTGTGAGGCTGTCGGCTCCAGCAAGCATAGCATAAAGTGTGAAATGATTGTTGGAAGGCTGCAACAGTGGGTTGGTGTGTTTCCCTGCCGTGGCTGGTCTTGTTTTAGACTGGTACTGAGATAGTGATGCAGATCATGTGGGAAACGGTATCTTTTCTGTTTCCTGTTTCCAGTATGCTTGAAGCATTCCACTGAAGCATAGGACTTTCTTTCACAAGTAAAGATCTGGATAAAGTACGAAATAACATCTCACCTACCTGTGCAGGTTATCCATTAACAGCTGGTATGAAAGGTTAATAACATGCTTTAACATGCATGTTAATAACATGCAGGATGAAGTTCCCCGCTCCAAAAGTTAGATGTATTCACCATTCTGTCTCCCTAAGAAGTGCTCCTACATGCTACCCGATTGTTGGCTGAGCACAGCAGTGTAGAACCCTGAGCGACCAGATCATGTTAATGAGAAACGATACGGTGCAAATTACGTGGTAAAGTGTTTTAATGCTCTTATGTTTATTTTGTAGGTGGGAAGAGATGAAACATTCCGAGCTGCTGGATCAGTGCGCAGCCAGCTCTTTCCTGATGAACTTACTCAGAATGCGTAAGAAATGGCTGGTGGCCCTGGAGAAATCTAATCTGTATGAACATTAGTTATAAATAGAAAATTGCTATTTCAGATGCCAGTTTTGCCTTTTTGAGGAGTAGAAGGCCTGTTTGTGGTCTTCGTGACTACAGAAGCACGGCTAGAGGTTAAATTTAAAGTTTCTTGCATGCAAATATGAATAGAGAATTAAGGGGGAAGTAATTCCTATGTACTTTCTGTGAAGGACTTTGTTTCTGTCCATATTTTTAAATTCAAATCCTCCCAGTTCTACCTTCAGAGATAACTTGAGTCTAGCTGCCTGAATTCTTAGCAGCAAGACACAATCTGATTCAGTTTTACCTATAGTTAAGTGCTGCCTAGAACAAGACTTCTCTCTGCTTCTTGCTGGCTGGGGTTAGTGCTGCTGCTAATTCTGGGCACAGATGGCTGGAAAGTGAGTGAAGAGGAACCATGTAGATCATTTAAAACAGTTCAGGCAGGCTTTTCCTGTGAACCTCTTGCTCTGCTGCGCTTGTATTGTTTTCAGTTGCGAGAATCTTGTTAACAAAGAACACAGGTTAATGGAATGCATGTGGAGGTTGCTTCTGCCCCAAGCTCTGTGTTTTATTTTCACTACATATAATTAACATCAGTAATTACAGTTAGAGTGAGGAAAAAAAAAAATCCAGTAAAAGGGTCTCTTCACGTGACCTTCGATCTGTGGCCTTCTATGGTCCAAATGTTTCCACAGCAGAGCAGCTGTTCTCTGCAGTGCAATTAGTGTACAGAGGGGAGCACTAGTCCAGAAGTTTGCCTCCTGCAGATGTTGCAAGGAGATGACTATTGTTGGTTAGAATTGCACTTACACTGGAGATGAACTCTATAGTGCCACAGTAGCCATGGTTCTGTATTTTATTTGAAGTCTTCTCCATGGATCAGTGATTCATATTGGATTGCTGGGGTTCCATGTTAAGGTAATAACATGTTTTCCATTTTCCCTGTATTAGACAATTGTTCTCTGAACAACGTGTGCATCGGCACAATTTGTAGATGTAATAAAGCACAGTGGCCATAGGAGGCCTTTTTGTCGCTCTCTTTGATAGTATGTTTCTTCCTCCAGTTCTCAGTTTCTCTGTCAGTTCACAGGAACCTGCTCCCTTTTCAATGGGCTTGTCATGCCTCATTCCCTTCCTCCCTTTTTTTTTTAAAAAAAAAAACCAAAGCAAAATGGAGCTTTGTACCATCTGAATGAACTTCAAAGTGGCTAGAAAGGGCACCCAGGGTTCCTGGCACTTGTCATTGTCTCTCAGCCTGGCCAACATTTCCCTTCTAGGTCTAATTACTTCCAAATGCTCCCAGATGCTTTGAAGAAACTCAGAGGGAGGGGGAGGCATGAAAGAAAGGTGGAAGAGGAAAAAGGAGACTCAAAGCGGAGGGAGCAGAATGCTTTAGCAAAAATGTTGATTGATTTCTTATATGACACCCAAACATAAACAGGGAATGTGTGTGGCTGCTGGCACAATGCAAGAGCACTGTGTACAGTTGCTGTTCTAAATTCTTACTGTGGAAAGCAAGCCCTTCTTGCACTTGACAGGCTATAAAGGACATGCTACAGCAAAACAAAATTAAAATAATGTTTAAAGTTTATTACTTTCCTAGATTAAGTGTGGGCTGATCCTACGCTCCATAGGACTATCTGTATCTGTTCAGGTGCTATGTCAGGCTTATTCATGTCACAGAAGTCAGAGGCAGACTGTAGCTAGAGCTGTTTTGCTGAATTTATGCAGGATATATCGGGGCCAAGCAGTAGCCATGGTTAATGACAGGTATATACTTGTGCTGGTGTTTTTTATTCACAGCGTAAGAATTAACAGAAGCAGTCTGGTTGGTAGGAAGTTGTACGTGCTTTCAGATGTGCTAGTCTTGGTTTTTGAAGAGCACAGGCAACATAAAATAGTATCGATTTGCTTAGCTATTTTGATTCCACCAGTTTTGACAAAGAGCTAGCACCATAACTATCACCTGCAAGTACCTGATACGGGAAAACAGAAGGAAAAGTTTATGAACACGAGCAGCAATATCATTATTACTGGGGCAGTTTAATGGGTTGAGTACCGGGGTAGGGATTAGGAGACTTCATATTGCTAACTGTGCGTTATCTCAGTCAGTTCTGCCCATGTTTGTCCCTTGTGTAACTCAGCCATGCATCAAGCCCAATTTAATCTACTCTTTTAGGAGAATGAAAAATTGGTACCTTGAACAGCTAGACCAGAGGTCTTTATTCCCCTTTGCCTATGCAAAGAAGAGTTAGTGTTAGCTGCTGCTGCTATTAAAATACTGCTTTACTGCTAACATTTCACATCAGCAATCCTCTTGTCAAGAATGGTTGTGTATGGACCAGGTATGTCAAGGAAGTGAACTCGAGTTTTTTTTGGGGCAGCAGCTTTGAGAGACCTGTGTGTCAGGAGAAGGCAGAATGGGGGGAAGAGATGAGGATTTGATATCCGGAAGAGGCAAGAAAGTAGGAGTGCAAGTTCTTTTAAGAGGGACAAGATGCCCCAATATTTCAAAGTGCAAGCTCTTCACTAAGGTGGATTCCTACCCTGCCACAGAACAATACATGCAGATACCTGATGAGCTGGATTTGTTTCAGTATCACTTCTGCTGCAGTAGCTGAACTCATCCCAGGGAGGTTTGGGCATTCAAAGGTAGTATTACTTGCATTTTTTTGCTATTGCCTTTTTTTACCATATGGTTGTGAGGCTGAAGGCTGAACTAGGTCAGTTCCTTCGTGGGTTTCGTTGTACAGCTGCACAAACAGTTGTCTTGGCAAAGAGGCTGCAGTGCAGAGGGATGGGGCACTGCTTAAGCTGGTACTGTCATCAGAAAGAATGTGTATTCAATTGTGGTTTTAGCTGAAGTTTGCAAGTAGCTGGTGTTCCGAGTGATGACCTTGATAGCTCTTGGCCGTAAGAGTATAGTGACCTACTGAGCCTTTGCCCACTACAGCGGTCAATGGGGAAAAAAATTGCTCGCTATTACTAATCATAAAGACTGCAGATAGCCAACAACTGTGTGTGCAATCCTTAAGACACCCTGGTGTCAGCTGCTTTTCGTGCAGCCGGCTATATATTTCCCAACAAAGCCAGTTCAGTTGTGGGTCCTGCTGACATGTGTAAGGTTTCTTATTTCACAGCTTCCCCCTGGCCCCCCTGCTGGCTGAGGGGCCAGGCTGTCCCATGATGTGGGATTCTCACACATGCTGTTTGTTATTCTGTCCTTTTTCCTTTCGTCCTACAAAGATTTAGAGAAGAGAGTGGGTGAGGGGGAAACTTTGCAAGTCTTTGAAGCAACTTGACTTTCGATGATTAATTGCAGCAAAGAGCCTACACAAGGGAGGGAGACTCGGTTTTAATTTATTGATGTTTCTTTGTGAGAACAAATTTATAGCAGAGGGGAAGCAGCTTCTGAGGAGAATATCAAATGGTTAAAAGGTTCCAAGTATTCTTTGATGTCACAGCCCTGAAGAAATACTGGAAGGTAGTGAGGGACAGACACTGTTTATTTATAAAATAAAGATCAGTTACCTGCTTTTGGCAAGAGCCTGTGACTGAGCCCCTGTTAACAACCTATTCATTAGACAGGCTTGGAGCTGGACCTAAAGTTTCTGCCACAGCTGCCTGCTGAGGAGATGAGAGCCTGAAGTTTGGATGACATTTCCAGCCATTAAGTCTTTCCATGCATCTCTGTGAAGCAGCACCTGTTTCTCACATTAGCTGAGAAAGCAACAGCATCTTACTGTGCTGTGAAGTACAGGCTACTGTTAAAGGAGTAAGGCGGCAAGGTGGAAATCAGTTACGCAGCCGACCAAAACAAGCGTGTGGCAGCCTTTTTTCAAAAACCGCATCTGACAGCAGTGTTGCCTAGGGCTTTGTTGTGCTTGGTAAAGGGGAGAGGAAACAGAAGCAAAATGGCAGAGAAAGAAAAACGTTGACTCTTCTTCCTATGGCTGGACTCTGAGGATGATCCAGATGTTCACTGGCAGGCCAGGGTCTTCTGCTGGCAGGCCACATGTGCTTCATGAGGCCTCTAGAAATCTAGAAGCTGTAAGGAGAGAGCACCAAGCCAGTGAGCATATCTGCTGGGTGCCCGAAACATCTCCCAAAAGGAAGAGGATTAAGCTGCTTCAGCCCACATCCTTATCCCATTCAAATGCAGTTGGCTTCTGCAGTGACATACCAGCTGTGGCAGCACTTTCTCCACATGCTCAATATCCACTTTCTCCAGGTCCTCTGCCTGAGCCTGCCGTGCTGCTCGCGCTGCCGCTTCTGCAGTACAAGCGTAAGGAAAGAGCTGTTAGAGGGGTCTTAGAGCTGTTACGCGCGTGGCCCCAACGAGGCGTCGGGGATGGTTTTTGGGGATGAAGACGTAGTCCCACGGAAGGAGGAGGCCCAGCTGCTGGCAGAGGCCCTTCACCGGCCCCACGGGGTGCAGGGAGCGGGGTCGCGGCTGTGGCCGCGCTGGAGGCGCAGCCCCTCGCTTCCCGGTGCGGTGTGGCA